TTTCTATTGTGGTAACAAGAATGCTTTCATTAGTAATAAATAAATAGTATGCTGTGATGCAATACTTTATTCTTGTTGGCTGTTTTACTTTGTATTACTAAATAAACATAGATTGAGTCTTATTTTGCTAGAACACTGATTTATTCTTTAAAAAGCTCGCTAACAAACTCTTCTTCTATGCATGATAGCTTTGCCGGTATAATCAAGGAGTGTAACGGTTTTCCAAAGTTCATTTGCTGTAGCTTCTCCACACTGTCATAGCACACAAACTCTTCATCTGTGGCAAACCTGCAAACCGCAAAAACTTTTGTTTTTAGATTCAAAATTCCCTTTTGTGTTTGTTCTTCGGCGTATAAAAGCTGCTCCAGTGCTTCATTTACTGTCATATACCTATTCTCGTCTGTCTTAATATCCAAAAGACAGAGCGTATGAAGATTGCTGGTGTAGTTGCTGTAGATACTGTCGTAAAATGATATTGGTTTTACTTTCTCTGTAAAATACGGTATGGAAATGGTCTTTCCAAAGCTATATGAATATAGACCATAGCACCCCTTCACATTTAATATGGAAACGTTGTGCACAACCTTTACCTGAACGCCTCTTTCCTTTGCTCTTAGGTAAAGATCCGTGTGGGTGGTGGCAAAGAACGGCGTGCCTGCAACAAGAAATGCAACATTGAAGTTTTTGGCTTCCTCCACAATTTTATTTGTCTCCTCCACCAGCTTTCTATCAGCTAAAACTATACTTTTGTCAATGACCCTTTCTAGCTCATTAAAACTACTCAATTGAATGCATGTATAGCATTCCTGATAAACTTTGTCGGCCATTTTGAGAATTTCTAAGCTTCTCAGTGAAATGTCCTTGTAATTATTCAGTCCTATTCCGATAATAAAAAGCATTGGGTAAATTTTTTAAAAGCTTTAAAACATAATCTGCCATTTAATATTAAATGATTCATGGCATACAATATGCTTATTTGGAGTGCTTGGATCCTATCAATATTATATGACACTTATAAGAATTTTAAATGAAGCATTAAACAATGCCACAATGCATAAAAATTTAGAATCAGGCTAAAAGGCATAAAATATACTAAAAGCTTTTAATTCAGCACATTTAATTTTAGACACGACCACCGTTGAAAACTAATGGAACGGGATGATTATGAACGTGAGGCACCATTATCACTGGCGTTGTTTGGGCCTGTGATGAAAAAGCAGGTACCTGACTCTGAAGAATACATCCAAGCGTCTGACCTGATTTACAAATTTCAGATGGTGATATCTGTTCGACATGAGATTGTATTGGAGCAGGTGTGGCTAGTAGTGGTGGGGTAATGGCATTTTGAGCAATGTTTACTCTTTGAACAGGCATAGATGCTAGTGGCTGTGAGATAATGATATTGTCTGGTGTGACCACTCTTTGGGTGGGTTGGCCACCAGGCACAAGTCTGGTCACTTTGGATTTCATTACTGCACTCATGTTGCCCATACAATCCTTTCTACATCGCTTTAGAACTGGGTCATAGCATCTTAATGGACATTTTTCAACATAAGATGGTGATGCTTTGCCTGCTGCAGAGCCACCACGTAAACGTGATCTTGGACCCTTAAATATATCTGAAAATGTTTCAAAGAACATCTGCATTACTTCTGAGGAGCTTTTGCCTGGAAATATTTCTTTGATTTTGCTCATAAAATCGACCTGAGACTGGTCAGTTTCTGAAAATCTTTCTTGAAAATTGACACTATTAGAAGCATCATGGTAGTGTTTTAAAAGTTCAGAAATAGTGGCATGATCGACTCTGCTAAGAGATTCAAGAAATTCGTCTTGTTGCATTTTCATTCTTTGAGCCATTCCTCCACTTCTTTCTGCCATTTCATTAAATACAATCGTCTCTTGATCACTGCCTTCTCTCTTGTGTTTTCTGATCAATTCAGAACCTCCGATAGTTCCCTTCAAGCCTTTGATGGTTTCGGATATTCCACCAGCTAATGAATTGTTCTCGTTTAAGACTTCCTCTCTGCCTTGCTTGGCTTTTAAATCTTTTTCAACTTTGTTCATGAAATCTTTTGTGTAATCTACCTTTTCATCTTGCCCAACATTCAGGTTATTTTCAGACATGCCTGCCAATGATTTCTTTTCTGCCATCGCTGCAGCCTTGTTAACTGCTTCTCCAAGTGACATCTTAGTGCTTATTCCATATTGTGGTTTGATCTCTGCAATCACTGATCCGTCTGGGTTGCTTATCACATTAACCTTGGCATCCCTCATTCCATCCTTCATACTTTCAATTTGTTCGAATTCTTTCTTGATGTATTCTGGTACTTCGTCTGCTCCTTTGCTTACCCCTTTGTAAACCTTAGGCCTCATTCTCGCACTGAATTTGTCCCAGGCTTCACATCCTACAACACCATTTAATATATCAATTTTCTTAGCAAATTCAATATTTATACTTTCATACTCATTAAATAGTAGTTTTTGTGGATTGGTGTTAAGAGCTGATGGTAGTTTCATTTTCATATTTTTAATATCAGCTTTATAATATAAAGGTTGGCTTCCTCTTGAAAATACTGGCTTTAAAGGTGTTGTGTCAAGATTTTGAGCAACCATGCGATCATATCCTGCCTGATCAAAATACACTGTTCCGCTTTTAATTTGAATTTCCTTGCAACTTTCAGGTAGATTCAAAAATCCCTCCTCACCTTTGATTGTCACAAGCCCAGAGTTGAATTTTTCTTTCGTAACCTTGTTTCTGATATTATCTCTTAAATCCTCTAGCTCCTCCTTAATCTTTTCCTCCTCTGCTGTCTCTGCCTTTGCGCTTGGTAGTCCAGTTAGAGGTAACTCCACAGTCGAATTATCAGCATTCATTTGAGTAATATTGTCAGGCAAAAGTTTAACAATTCCTAGTTGCTCTTCTGCTGGGATATGTTTTTGTATCTGTTTTTCACCCTCCTCCTCAGCAGCTGCTTTCATATGGCCATTAATATCACCAATTGTATTACCAACAGGATTTCTACCAGTATGAGCTGTTGCAATATGCTCGGCCTCTCCAACAGCTTTGGCCTCTCCTACCTGTGGTGAAAGCACATCTTTGATGCTTCTAGCTCTTTTTGCTTTTCCATCTCAATCAACTTTCTTTTCATTCTCTCGGCTCGATCTGCTTCGGCGGCGGCCTCTGCATCACTTCCTCCCAATCTTTTTACGTTTTGTGCTGCAATTGATCCAGCCTCCATGATTTCCTCCTCTTCAGCTTCTTTTGCCAACTGTTCTTCAGCTAATCTTGCCTCTTTTTTCTCATCACTAAGTATATTTTCGGAATTAATGAGCTCAAGAGGTTTATTATGTGTTGGATGATCAGTATAATCTTGCATAGCATGAAGTTCAGCATTGGCTCTTTCTCTTCTCTCATCTGCAACAATTCTTTTATTTCTCTCCCTAATATCATCAAATTCATTTTTAATTTCCGTCAAGTCTTTCAAACTAGTAGGATGCTTAAGCTTCTTATCTTGATCCATCACTAATGATGCTTCATATTGATCTTTTTTCTCCAAAAGTTTAGCAAGTTCCCTCTTTTGTTCTGGTGGCAAGTTCTCCTTTTCAAGTTGGTCTAAACGATCCATAAGTTTCAGTTCTTTCGCCATACGTTGTCTTCCGCCATCATGTTTGTCAGCAGCACGGTTCAACATGTCAGCCTCTTTCAAAAGTGCATTTTCAGTCTCTTTTAGATCTTTTATCTCAAGTGCTTTAGGTAAATAAGATTCCATATCATCTTCATTAGCATAACTATAACCTTCAAGTGCTCTTGCAACCTTCTCTGGTACAGCTCTGCCAGTGATACGCGCTGTATTAGCAACTGCCGCATCAAGACTTGCAGGTTTGCTCATACCATGTGCTAAATTATTTTCATATTCACTTGCAGCCACTTTTGCCACTTTTGAATTTAATATTGCCTCTTCTTCTGGCCGTCCTTTGCGAATCTCTTCATCAAAGACACTATCAGCAAAACTATCAACTTTACTAGCTCGTGGAATGCCTGCTGGACGTGGTGGTACTGGAATACGACTGCCCTGTGGTGTTTCATGTGGACCAAGGCGTACCGAACCTAGATCATCGGTTTCACTTGTAAAGGTCAAAGCATCTCTAACAGCTGCATCCATACCTTCGTGTTCAAGTGCACGGTCCTTGAACCGATTATTACTAGCCTGTGCTTCAAGAAATTTTTCAGCCGCGCCAGGTACACCTTGTACGACATCTTCTGCAATCTTCCTAGTTCTGTCCATCCTATCAACAGTTTCCCTGGCAAAAGGTGTTCCAATAAGCTCTAGTTTGTTCTTAAGAGGCTCATAATCTTTATTTAAATAGTTCACAGCATCTCGCTTAATAGATGGATCAGCAAAAATAGCATCGTGTGCTCCCTTGCCAGCATCCATATTACGTATTCCATGATCCAAAACTTCTCCTGTGCGCATTTGATTTGCGAAATCTCCGGGGAAGTATACCTCTCCATTCTTTTGACTCAGTTCACGCGCGACTTCATGGTCTCTCAGATGGTTCATATTTGCATGTGCCATTGTATCACCAGCTTTTTCTTGTGCCCGCATTAATTGAAGATGCCCTTCAATTTTTTGATTAATTCCTGGTCTTCCACATCTCTTAATCAAATTGTCATATTCTTCTCTCGGAATGACATGGTTTTCAAAGAGCTTGTCTGTTGAAGCGCAATCTCCCCTGACTGCACTCACAGCAAGATTTTTGATATTTACCCATTCTTCAACCGTTGGATTGTTTGTAGTTCTGAACATATTCAAATAGCTCTTCATATTTCTAGCATTTTTTTCTAATTCAGGATCACTTCCAATAATATTATTATAGTTGGCAGTATCACTCAATATTCTTCTGTCAAGTGAATTATCTATACCAAGATTCATTCCACTATTTGCTAACACTAAGTCCGTGTTTGGATCATTATGTGAAGCAATAAGAGACAATCTTAATAGAAAATAGTATCTGCTTGTCATATTAATGTTTGTTAAAGAATATTTAAATCAAATGTAAAACAAAAAGCGAGTTTCATATGGCACTGTTTCAAGCTGGTACATGTTGAAAGATGAAATTGAGAATGAAGAATGTTTTATGATTGATTGTATACACGTTAATACATTTTGACATGTGAAAAGTTGATTTTTAAAAGATGCAAATTAAAAATGAATTTTAAAACCATATCAGTTAGAATACTTCTTTTTTCAAATTATATGCTATTACGTACAAATATACTAGTTTTGAGTACAAAAATAGAACACACATCATTTACTCTTCAACCTTTTTCATTGGAACTTCTTCGTATTCACCATTTTCACCTTGAATGTAACTTTTGAATTCTTCAGATCCGTATCCAACTGTAAGAACAAATCCTGTTTTACTCCAATCAAGAGAATAGCATGGCTCTTTAAGCTTGATTTCCTGAGTTCTTATGCTATCATCTTCCTTGAAAATGAAGGCCAATTTGCCATCCTCTGAACAAGTTGCTAAGATTGTGTGTTTTTCATCATCAGTTGGCGCTAATGCAACTGAATTTACAGCACCTTGATGATGTTTTAAGTATTCAATGTTATCTTTTGAAATTAAGGCTGCCGTACAGTCCAATCCACCTGTTGCTACAAAATGTAGATTGCAGCTAACAGTAATAATGCCATATCGGTGAATTTCTTGTTCAGTTACTGTTGCTTTGAAATTATTATCAAAGACTACAGTCCTCAATATTCCATTATCACATCCACAGAATATTGTAAAAGAACTGTCAGTGTACCTCACTGCAATGTCATAGATAGGTCCATTAGACACTTTTGTTTCTGATCTCTTCACAAAAGAATGCCCTTCGAGCTTCCAAACAATGAGCTTTCCACTAAAATCACTGCTTGCGATCAGCTCTCCTTGATTTATAAAAACCGCCTTTGTTACAACACCAGTATGTCCTGTGAGTTCAGTAAGAAACTCCATATTTCTGTCTTTAATGGTGAAAAGACGCACAAGAGAGTCTTCACATGCCGTAACGACGAACTTTTCAGATAAATCCGAATCCATGCTGCGTATCTTAGATTCAATTTGTTCCATGGGTAAGCATAAATTTTTTTGTTTCTGCATGAACAAATCCAAGTGAATAAAATTCTGAAATCTAACAATTGAAGATATTTTAAGGATTTAAATTACAAAAATCTTAAGAAGAAAGTGTTATTTCTATTTTTGTTGTTAGAATGATTAGACATAAAATATAGTTTATTTATAATGTTAATACTGAAACTCATGTAATATTTTTTTAATAAGTGTAATAAATATCAAATCCTTCAACATTTTGGATATATGCTTAATTGTATCATTAAATTTTATTATTTTCTTATTAATTTTTGACATGTATAAATTCATTTGAAATAATCAAACATGCTTTGACTTTTTGAATTGCTATTTTTATTGAAATGATCACTAATGATAAATCTGGGATTAAATGATTTCTAGCTACTGATGTCATCTATTGTGTTCAAGTATACATTCGTTTACTGGATAGTATTTTCTAATGTTGAATGCCTAACTTTTATTCATGCAAGCAGCATAAAGGACTATTATAAAGATGAATGAACAGCGTACTTCATTAATAAAACGAATAGCCTATTTAATATACAAGTTGTGTTGGAATTATAAATTGTGCATTATTTAAATAAACATGTAAGTAAAATTCATTCACAAACTATGGCATTACCTTTATTAATATGCTAATGTTTATGTAATAACTTTTAGTACTAATTCAATACGCTTTTATAGATAGCTAGTATTTTAGTCTAAGATCCCGCTTTCTTTTCTGAAAATTTTTATAAACCAACAAATTTTTAGCCCCATGTCAGATTTTGAGGGACAGATTATTCATGGTCTCATGAAGAACACGAAAAACATTCGTAATATGTCCGTTATTGCTCACGTAGATCACGGTAAGAGTACCCTTACTGATTGCTTACTTATTAAAGCACGTATTGCTGGTAAAGAAAGTAATGGTGGGAGATATATGGATACTCGAGAAGATGAGAAAGAAAGAGGTATTACGATTAAATCTACAGCGGTATCAATGCACTTCAGTATGAATAAAGAGGTGTTAGAGGCCTATACTGAGGCTGGACAGGTAGATGGAAATGAGTTTCTAATTAATTTGATTGACTCACCTGGCCACGTTGACTTTTCTTCCGAAGTAACAGCCGCTTTGAGAGTTACCGATGGTGCTCTTGTCGTTGTTGATTGTGTAGATGGTATTTGTGTTCAAACAGAGACAGTTTTGAGACAGGCTATTGACGAGATGATTGTGCCTACTCTAGTTCTAAATAAGCTCGATAGAGCAATGTTAGAGCTTCAATATTCTTCAAAGGAACTCTATGAAGTCTTAAGAAGGAGAATTGAAAGTTTCAATTGTAAACTTCAAACAATTCTTGGTGACAAAAGAAATTATATTAAGTCACTTGATCCAGGCGCCAATGAAGTCTCATTCTGCTCCGGTCTTCAGGGATGGGGATTCACTCTCAATAAGTTTGCGAGGTTTTATTTAACCCAACGTAATAAGCATACTTTTGACACTGAAAAACAATTTACAAAGATTCTATGGAGTTCAAAGTATTATTGTACTGTTGATGATCCTTTTGATCCTGCTTGTAAATTTGAAAAGATAAAGGAGAATGGAATTCCTGAAGGTATGTTCTCACCTTTTGAAGTGTATGTTCTGCATCCTATTTATAAAGTAAAGGATATGTGTATGTCAGGTGATATTGATGGTATCATTAATTATCTTGCTAAGTTCGGAATTGATTTTAAAAACACTGAGCTTTCTGGTAGTGGAAAGGCCTTGTTTAAGGTTGTTTTTAAGATATGGTTACCGGCTGCTGAAACACTTCTTGAGCAAATCATCACTAAGCTTCCCTCACCAGTGCAAAGCCAGTCTTTAAGAGCAAAGCATCTTTATACCGGTCCTTCTGATGATGATGTTTACAAGGCTATCTCTCGGTGTGATACCACTGACGATGCACCTATTACTATTTATATTTCTAAAATGGTGCCTGATAATGCTACCAATGGGTTTGTTGCCTTTGGTAGAGTTTTGTCTGGCAATATTAAGCCTGGCACGAAAGTATTTGTTCAGGATCCTGACTATGTGCCTGATTCCACTTCAACCAGGAAGAATCCTCATGTCTGTGAAAAGAGTATTTCTAAGGTTGTGATTGTGAATCCTAGGGGATCAATTCCCATACCTAATTGTCCTGCAGGAAACATTGTAGGTCTTGTCGGTGTTGAAGGTTTCCTTAAAAAGACTGGCACTATTACTACCGTTAAAAATTGTTACAATATTAAGACTATGAAGTTTTCTGTATCTCCTGTTGTGAAGGTCGCTGTATCACCAAAGAGATCATCTGATCTTAATCATTTCAAAGAAGGTCTTGAGAAACTTGCTAAGTCTGATCCTCTTTGTGTTATTGAGCATAATGATTCTGGACAGGCTACAATTGCATGTGCTGGTGAATTACATCTTGAAATTATTCTTGGAGACTTGAAGAATTTCTATGCTAAATGTGAATTTAATGTAGAAGTTCCTCAAGTTAAGTATTATGAAGGATTTGCTGATGTGGTTACAAAACCTAAGATGAGGAAATCAGCCAACAAGCATAACAGAGTTTATATGACTTGTGAGCCACTTGATGATGAGATTGTTGATAATATACCATCTTTAATGGGCAAAGATACTAAAGAAATTGCAGCCAAGTTTAGAGAAATTTTGAATAGGGATGATGATTGGATCAAGAGTATTATGTACTTTGGACCTGAAGTTGAGCCTCTTAATATTCTAGTTGATGAGACTAAGGGTATACAATATATGATGGAAGTCAAAGAGCATCTCTTTGAAGGATTTAAGCATGCAACTAAGGAGGGGCCTATGGTTGGTGAATGTATTAGAGCAGGTAAGTTTAATCTTGTCGACTTAAGCCTTCATGCTGATTCTATTCACAGAGGTGCCAATCAGATGATTAGGCCTGTTGAAGATTTGGTGAGGGGCCTCTTGCTTGCAGCTGAGCCTATTCTTTATGAACCTATTTTTACTTGTAATGTTTCTGTGCCTACTGAGTATGCTTCTGCCTGTGAGTCAGTTCTGAAAAATAGACGTGGCTACATTGAAGACTGGCAGACCGAGAATAATATGGCTTTGATTTCGGGATTTTTGCCAGTAAATGAATCTTTTGGTATTAATAAGAGACTTAAAGAAGTGGCTAAGGGACAACCTTCTTTTTCTCTCGTATTTTCCCACTATGCTCGTTGCCCTGGATCTCTTGACAAACCAACCTCTACAATGGCAGTAGTTGTTAACGAAGTTAGAAAGTATAAGAATATTACTACCAAGTTAGATCCAAATGAATACTTCGATGAGCTTTAAATAAAGTTCTTTTCTTAATTTTAGTACTTAATATTATGTTGCTAAATATTTTATTGATGTATTTCTAATCAAGTTGCAACTACTGTGTGGGTTTGTCAAATATTTATTTAATACGAAACTAAGCTGGTTTTTATTGCTTTGTGGTGCTTTGGTAATGTCACATAAAACAATATTAAAATTTATTCAAGCGGCACGTATTTACTTTTTAAGGATGTATTTAATCGCTTTTCTTGTTTTTTAGGATTTGATCTAATCAGAAATACTAGCAATGTTATTACTATTAAAAATAATAGAATTAAATTTGTTGTAGAGTTGAGTACTTGACACAGCCTATCAATTATATTGTTAGGCTTAATTGGATTGCTGAGATTTTCTACTGTGATGCTTAATGTCTGCTCTGCACTGTTTTGAACATTTGGCCTAATTTCAAGTTGGCGATGTAGCATTCACGATAGGGGCTTGCTTTACTGTGAGGATGTGTTGTGAAAAGGAGGTCCAGTTTGAAAAATTCCTTATCACACGAATGCAAAACAAATTGTTTCGTTGATGTGGACAGCAGTGTTATATTAATTTTAACTCTCCTGTCAAAATTTTTATAGTAGTGTAAAGAGGAGGTGTCTCGTTTTATGTGCATAACAATTTGACTAAATAGCCTTGTCAAATAACTTATTCGATTTAAAAGTATTCAAGTTCCTTTATTGAATCACATTTCTTTAAATCCTACTTTGGAAGGGTCTAATCATCAAACGGGAATATCTTGTATCTGGTCTTCATTATTATTCTTTGTTCACTGAACTTATCTTCAATAGAGTATTTTGCTGGCTTTGCACACTCTGCATTTTCTGGATTAAGTGTGTACACTCTCTTTCCATTCTCTATTTTGAAATAGAGCATGGGTGAAAATAAAAATTTTAACAAATGCATTTTGAAGCAAAGTACTCTCATTTTATTATGCAGATGCAGTAAAAAATATGCTTCATTTTCTATAAATAAAGCTATACTTTTCTTTAACTTGAATAACAGTAACAAATATTACCGTGTAAGTTTTCTAAGATAGCAAAATTTATCATATTTTCTTATATTTTAATATTTGTTGTTTCCAATCCTATGAAGGAAAGGTCACAAACAAAAATAATATGCACTCTTGGTCCTGCATCAGAGAATTTTGAAACAATTGAACAGCTGTTTTTAAATGGAATGTCAATTGTAAGATTGAATATGAGTCATGGAACGCACAAAACATGCTCAAAAATCATTGAAAATATTAGAAAAGTTGAGGAAAAGTATATGGTTAAGATTTTTGTTGCGTTGGATACACAAGGCCCAGAACTTAGAATTCACTGCACAGAGTCATTGCATATTAAAGAAGGTGATAATGTCAAAATTGTATTTTTGGATGAGTTTAATCGGTATGCACATAACAAAAAGATTGAGGCCAAAAACAAACACTTGATTGGTGTCAATATTAACACATTAGAAGGATTGTGCATAGGTAATGTGATTAATTTGGATGATAGCAAGTTACTTTTAAGAATTGAACACGTTGGTAATAACTATCTTGAAACAGTTGCCCTTTGTGAACATCTATTAAAAAACAAAAAAAGAGTTTATTTTCAATCACTAGAAAGTGATAGAACCTTTCTAAGTGGCCAGGACATATCTGATATCGACTTTGCTATAAAAAATTTCCTTGATGCAATATTCGTTTCTTTTGTTGAATCTTCCAAGGATATCATTAAAATCAGAAAGTTAATCAAAGATAAAACTGTCCAAATTATCTCAAAAATTGAATCTAAAAAGGCAATCTGTAATATTAAAGAAATTTTGGACGTATCAGATGGAATAATGATTGCTCGCGGCGACTTAATGAATGACGTTGGCGTTGAGCTGTTGTTTTCATCCCAGAAACAGCTTGTATATTTATCTAAGAGTAAGCCTATCATTATGGCTACTGAAATGCTTCAGAGTATGGTGAATTCCAAAACACCTTTCAGATCTGAAATTAGTGATATTGGAAACGCCATACTTGATGGGTGTTCAGGTATAATGCTCAGCTCCGAAACCGCAGTTGGAAAACATCCTGCCATATGTGTTGATACTATGAGAATGGTTTCGATTAATGCTGAGAGATATCTTAATCAACTTATTGGAGATCTTCATGGTGATACTGTATCTGCTGCTCAGACATTGGAATGGTCAGGAGCGGAAGACAGAAAAAGTATGCTGGCAAAAGGAATTTATTTCAAAAAACAGTCCATTCAAAAACGGGATTGATTTATATTGTCAAAACTATGTCTGTTTTGATTGTACAAGTTGAA